GGCGGGGGGGGACCCCCTTCCCCTCCCGGAAACTCTCGGCGGGGGCACAGGGCTTTCCCCGCCTTCCTGCAAAACGGCGGAGGGTTCGCCCCTCGCCACACCGTTCCCTGCTAGAAGCTCCAATTGTCCGGCTGGCCGGAGCACTTCCGGGTTCCAATTGGTGCCGAACTATCGGGAGTGCCGGACCACTGGATGCCGGACAATTGGAGTTTTACTGTATATGCATTTGTATCCAACTGCCATAAGTGTGCTGAAATTTCCAATAAGCATGAAAAGGAATTTTATCAAAATAAAGCAACTATTTTACACAAATAAAACAAGCAATTTACACAATGAGAAATTCTAGAGAAAGAAAATTATTAAAAATGAATGAAGGTTTCAGAAGGAGATGACTGATCAACAGGCTGAAGAATACTATCAGAGTCTCAATGGAAATCTAGTCTGATGTAAGAATGAACTGAAACCACGTCAGGATAACAAATCAAAGAGCAATTCAGGAGTTACTACAGAAGCTGCTTAGTACTTGGCCAACATGACTAATTCCCAATTAGGTTGAATATAGGTTGAATCCAACACCAGAAGAAGAGGCTAAAATGTGACTTATATTATGTAATTCTGTTCCTTTCTTCAATTCGAAAATGTTAAACAAAAGAGCTTGATCTCTACTCCAAACATTTTTTGTGTGAAGGAGATTGGTTGACTTCTAATACAATTAATTAAAATAGCAGAAAGTTGGGGGTTGGGCAAGGAGAGAAGTCTGGATAGTTGAGAATATGGTAAATTATGAAAATACTTTCGTTCTTGTCCAGCCCGTTCAATATCAATAAAGTGTGTTTTCAGCACATTTGGGTTTGTTTGGTCAAACAAGTAGGAATAAGAGATCCTCCGGAAAAGGGCTTTATTCCGGAGGATCGCGCCAGTCTAGACGCTTTTTTCTAGCTTTTCCCCAAGCCGGAAAAAAAGCGGCGGACATGTTTATTTAAATCCCCCGTGGATTTCCCTATCCTGACTTACCTGATTTGCATCCCTTTTCCGGAATTAGTGGCCAGCCTAGACATAGCCTATGGGTATGTCTACACTACAAAGTTAATTCGAACTAACGGACGTTAGTTCGACTTAACTTTAATAGGCGCTACACTAGCGCTCCGCTAGTTTGAATTTAAATCGAACTAGCAGAGCGCTTAGTTCAAACTAGGAAAACCTCATTTTACGAGGATTAAGCCTAGTTCGAACTAGCTAGTTCAAATTAAGGGGTGTGTAGCCCCTTAATTCGAACTAGTGGGAGGCTAGCCCTCCCCAGGTTTCCCTGGTGGCCACTCTGGCCAACACCAGGAAAACTCTATGCCCCCCTCCCGGCCCCGGACCCCTTAAAGGGGCACGGGCTGGCTACGGTGCCCGTGCCAGGTGCAAGCCTGCCAGCACCCAGCTAGCAGACCCTGCACCTGGCACGG